TTCCCATGTTCCCCCTGCCCCGTTTCACCACCTTCCCCGATGGTGTCCCTTCACTCGCGTAACGCGTGTTGAGATGCGGACGCATACATATTTTAGACGCGAGAGATTTAAATTTAAAACAATCGGCTTTTCCCAGCCAATGTTACGATTCTTAAATAAAACATTTATTAGTCAGGCCACGTAACGATCTGGCCACGATTTTTTTTTGTCATGATACCCTTCACCGCCCCGACGAAGCCAAATAAATCTAACTTGCATGGGTACAAGCGTTTAACACGCCGATTATAAACATTTCAGCTAATCGCTAAATTTGCAAGAACCTTACCGAAAAAAAATAACAAATGCTGCGTCGTTGCACACTCGTGCACGCGAAAATTGAATGTTTGCCCAAGTTGGGTGGCGGAGGGTTACACGACACATTTGGCCATATCATTAGGCGACCGAACCCACATTATGAATGTCAACGTTGCTGTTGCTCCTGTCGGCGTCGCCGGGCACCGCTGGCGTACGGGCGTGTGGCACCATGCACGCGGTTCATCTGTAAAACGTTTATTCTTAATTTATTTTGCAGGCAGTGCCGAACCATACATTTTTTACAAAATCCTCATCGTCGTCCAAAGGTGTTCGCCTCTTTCCCAGCCCCATCGCACCGCGGTCCCGCCAGCCCGCACAGACTCTCTCATTGCAACACCCCCTCCCACCCCCCCAACATTAGAGCTTTCACATTATAACTTAAGTCTCTCTACATTCACGTAATATACAGTATATATATGTATATGCCATTACGTTACGAGTGGTGAGCGCGGTGAGAAGGGGGTAGCGGACGGGTCGTTGTTTGAGTTGGGGAGGAGGGGGGGTCGTCGCTCAGAGCCAGGGGATGGCGAGGTTTACCACGTGGTTGGTGCGAGTGAGTCGGGTCCCCCCCCCCAACCACCGCCGGAACTCGTAGTACAGAGAAGCGCTTGCGGGAACGCAAGGAGTGCGGAGTAAGGGGGGTTCCGTCTACGGCGAGCGAACGAGAGAGGGGCACCGTCGATGATTCGGACGCAATGGCGGGCCGCCGCCAATGGAATCCAGCCACAGAACTTATCGAATCGAAATGAACGATGGGAAGGATGGGCCAACAGCTTGGGGGTGAGGCTCACCAGCTAATTAAAGACATGCTCGCCTTAACCAACCAGACACTAGTACTAGCCCTACCTCTGAACCTAGCCATCTAGCCAACCAGGCAATAGTATTCAACCTCTGGCTCACCTTAACTCTACCCCTAACCAATTCCCAGACACAACACGAGCATTACCCCTTCTCCTAACCAACCAAACACTAGCACCCGGCCTTCAATTCACGCCAACTCTCGCGATAACCCTCACCAACTATCCAACCAGGCACTCGTACAAGGCCTCACAATGAGCCTGACTTGAACCCGAATCAAATTAGCCGACCAGACACCAACCCTAGTCCTGACCCTAGCCTCACCCCCGTTGCTTCACCGGGTGCCTTGCTGACGTCGTGTTCACTTCTCTGCGTCGGCGATCTCGGCTTCACTCAGTTCCATCCTCTACCCGGGTCGTGTGCCGCCCCCGGGTAAAGCCACAACCGTAAAATTACGCTGCTTCAGAAGGTACAATTAAAACGCATTAGACGTTAACAGACGCAACACGTGAGTCTTGATTAAAGTGACGAAGGCGCCACTCGGATACGACTGGGAACTAAACACACACGCATTCGCAATAAACTTGTGTACACCTATCCACAGTTATGGTATTGTACAATAATATTTCAACACAAATATTTTCCAGTATTTTTAAAGTCCTACAAATCACGCAAAAATTGTTTTCCTTCCAGAGACTACCCTCCGTCAGACTATACAGAACGGTAACTTGTTTCGAGCTTAAATATAAATAGGCGTTTGTTATGGATTAATGTGCACGCCGGGCCGAGCTTGGTTGGGCTCCGCCAGCCGCACGAGGCACCGACACACCGAGACATCTCCGTGCCGCCCATTCTTCGGACACCGTCCAGAGACGGCTCGGAGACGATGCAGGACCGTAGCCAAACAAAAACCCGGACTGGATTCTCTACGGGGTGGCCGGCCACGCAGCCACAGGGCACCATGCAAGTTGCGGCACGGCTCTCGCGCTGCACGGGAGCAAGGGGGTGGGGGGGTTGTGGGGAGAGGAGGTGGTGGTAGTGGGGAGAGGTGTGGATGGGGGCAGCGGCTGAGCGGAGGTATCATGCAGCAAGGAGTGTGCAGAGGCGGGAGGGAGGGGAGGGGTGGGTGTGGGTGGGGAGCAGCACAGAGACCGCAGTTGTGCGTGGGATCGTCGTGGTGCAATGTCGCGTGAGTCCGAGACAGCGCGCGCCGGGGCCACGACGACGGGCTGCAGCGGAGGGCCACGAGAACCCTGCCACAGCCGGCATGGAGACGACGACGGGGGGGCACCGGTGCGGAGGTCGCGGGTGACATGCGGTTGCGGACCTCGGCCACGGTCGCGATCACGAGCGGCCGGTGTCGCAGCGCTGGGCTCGTGTCTCTTGCGGGAATGTGGTTTGACGTTTCTCCTGCTGAGCCGCGGGTGCGTATAGAGGCGACCAAGATCTACAATCAAATCGGCCCCAACGTTTGAGTCGACTGAAGGACAGGCACGAGCGGGTGAGGGAGGGAGTGATAAAATGGCCGATCTCGAGACACCAGACACACGGGGCAGCGTTGAGATGAACGCGTCGAGACAGAGACACTGCTCCTGCACACTGCAGCGCCAGGCTGCAGGAGACGGCGTTGAGAGATAGTAGTGGGGACTGCACGGAGAGTGGAGAAGCAGTGGGAGGCAGCAGAAGTGATAGCAGCGGTGATATCATCGACAGCGGGAGAGACTGGCAGAGCGCAGCAGTGATATCGACAGTGGGAGAGAGCGGTAGTGACAGAGAAGGAGAGACAGTGGGAGGGAGCACAGCAGTGATGGGACTGATAATCGGGATGAGCAGCGGGAGACACCATTAACAGTGGTAGTGATAGCATCGGTGATATCATCGACGGGCCGGAGAGACTGGGCCAGAGCGCAGGAGTGATATCCCTGAAAGTGGGAGAATCAGGGGGAGAGACAGCATCGATGGCTGAAGTGATAGCAGGAACAGCAGCATTGACACGGAGAGGACAGCGTCAGAGGGACGGCGGGTGTGTTCGTGGCGTCGTGAAGAGAGGGGAGCCGAGCGCGGGCGAGGCGAGTGGCCGATCACTCGGCACAGCGCAGGACTCTCTCCTCCTCTTCCTCCTCCTTCTCTTCCTCCTCCCAGACACGAACGACCACGGTGTCCCCGCAGCTTCTCGCACACGGGGAGGCAGAAGGGGGCACACACGGGGCACCTCCCCCTCCCCTCCCTATCTGCATCCCACCACCTTCCCCATGCCCAGTGTCCTCCCACGCGCGCTTCCGGTTCCTAACGCAAGAGGAACAACGCACGCGCACACACACCTCGTCACAACTTGACGAGCACGTGGGGGCCTTGGTAGAGGCTCTCAGAATAAAACAGTGATTTCCCTATTCTTAGGTTTTTTCGGTAAAAGTCACGTAGGTAAAACATTTAATTAATAAAAGTAAAATGAAAATAAAATAAAAAATCACGACGTTTCGGAGGCAACACAAGCTTCCGGCTTCAGGTGGAACCGTCACAGCACGATAGCTGTATCAAGTACTTACCGGTGTGCACGTGCGATGCATTTTCGGTGTGTGTGCGAGTGAGCGAGTGTGTGGGTGGGCGAGTGTGTGGGTGGGCGAGTGTGTGGGTGGGCGAGTGTGTGGGTGGGCGAGTGTGTGGGCGAGCGAGTGTGTGGGCGAGCGAGTGTGTGGGCGAGCGAGTGTGTGGGCGAGCGAGTGTGTGGGCGAGCGAGTGTGTGGGCGAGCGAGTGTGTGGCGAGCGAGTGTGAGCGAGCGAGTGTGTGGGCGAGCGAGTGTGTGGGCGAGCGAGTGTGAGCGAGCGAGTGTGTGGGCGACGAGTGTGTGGGGCGAGCGTGTGTGGGCGAGCGAGTGTGTGGGCGAGCGAGTGTGAGCGAGCGAGTGTGTGGGCGAGCGAGTGTGTGGGCGACCGAGTGTGTGGGTGAGCGAGTGTGTGGGCGAGCGAGGGCTTCACCGGTGTGCGCGAGCGGGTGAGTGCGGCGTGCCACGCCGGCCACTATCCGGCGCGGCCTGCAGCTCGTTGAGCCGCGCGCAGCTGGGCGTCGCCATGTTTCTGCGCCTTGTGGTAGAGCGTGCTGTCTCCGAAGTAGCGCGCCCTGTGTAGATCATGTTCTCCTCTGCCGGCACACGGCGCATGTACACACGGAAAGGCCGGCCGTTTAGCGCGACGACAGAAAAAAGCGTGCGTTACGCCGCGCTCTCGCGCGTTCGGAAGCCCAACAGCAAGCGGCGGCGGCGATGGTGAGGCTCGGACCGCGGGTCGCATCGTGACTGCCCACAGCGATTCGGCCTCGTGATGCCACGTGAGCACCGGCTACGGTACGATTCGAGAGGCGATGGATGCCCTGTCGTCTGGTTTCCACCGTCCCCATTTGTGTTGTTGTTTGGGATTACCCCCCGACCGTTGGCCCCTCTCCTGGCGGACGTGCAGGCTGGTGCCGGTTACCTTGTGCCGTAGCACAGGGGCAGCTGCCGCTCGGGGTCCCCCCCCCCCCCCTTCAAATGGTTTGAGATGAGGTACGAGGTGCTTACTCAAGCACCGCTCTATACATGCAAAGACGAGCATTGTTGTTGTTTCCACAAGTCTTAATTGTGTAGTCTTCTTCTCAGCGTTTTGCGCATAACCGCTGGGAATGCGGCAGCTCGAGGGGTGAGGTTTAGATCAAAGTGGGGGGGGGGGGGTGAGGTGTCGGTGAGGGAGGATCTTGGGAGTGGGGGGGGGTTTGGATCTCGGGAGGGTGAAGGTGTAGCCCGGGGGGGGGGGGGGGTGAGGGAAATCACGGGGGGAGGGGGGTGAGGATGGAACACAGGGGGGAGGAAATGGGGGGAGGGTAAGGGGGGAATTCGGTGGGGGTGGAGCTCACTCTGTTGTCGCTCCTTCCAGCAGTTGTTGCGAAGGTTGGCGACGTAGTCGTCCTCCACGCTGCGCTCCACACGCTCCAGGCCCTGCCCCTTGTAGTCTCGCTCAAAGTCCTTGTCTACGTAGTAGGGCACGCCCAGCTGCATGGTGTGCCGCGCAATCGTGTGGCCCAGGCCCCTGCAGTGACGTGCGCAGCGGTGACACACGGTGGAGACTCACGGTCACAAACACAGCAGTGACACACGGTAGGCAGTGACAGCGACACGCACAGCGGTGACACGCACAGCAGTGAAACAGTGACTCCCGGTGACAAACACAGCAGTGACACACAGTAGTGACACACAACAGTAACACGCAGTGCAGTGATACACGGTGCAACACAGTACCCATTGACAGTGACATAGTAACACAGTACAAAGGGAGGGATACACATTGATACAGGGACACATTGACACTTCGAGCTGGGACAAAGATTAGTGATTCACAAAATAGTCACACAGAACAGTGACAAGAATCAGCGATAAAGCTCATTCACTTACACACACGGGCAGTAGCTAAGGCTGTAGGGCGGGTTGTGAATTATTTGTGTGAGCGAGTCGGTGAGCAGGTAATCGGATGAACAGGCGAGCGAATGGGTGAGCGAGTGGGTGAGTGAGCGAGCAAGTCGACACAAGGGTCGTAGTTGAGGCTACACGCACGATTGTAAATGATTTGCGTCATTCGGTGAGCGGGAAAGTGAGTGAATGAGCCAGTGGGTGGGCGAGTGGGTGGGTGGACTTACGGGCGATAGCTGAAGCCGTAGGGCAGATTATTAATGCTCTGTGCGAGTCATGAGCAGGTGAGTGAGTGAACGGGTGAGTGGGTGGGTGGGTGAGTGAGCGGGTAGACAACGGTAGTAGCTGAGGCTGCAACGCAGGTTGTGAATGGTTTGTGAGTGAGTTGGTGAGTGGGTGAGTGAGTGAATGAGCGAGCGGGCGAGTGGACTCACGGCCGGTAGCTGAGGCTGTGGCGGGTTGGACACCATGAGCTGGCTGATGATGGATACGATCACCAGGATAAAGATGGGCAGCAGCTGTACGAACATCGTGAACCCACCCTGCTGAGACAGCGAGGAAACCGCGCCGGAACTCATCACACGTGGTAACACGGATAGATCCTCTCAAAGGGGCGGAGGAGGACGACGACGACGATGACTCCACCAAAAGCCGCCACTCAAAGCAATTCGTATTTATCATCTGAATGTAACTGCACAGTAAAACCTCTCGGAAATGGACTCGATGAAGCCAGAATATGGGATAATCCAGGAAAGGACAAAATAAATCAACACCAGCTTCGTGTTCATGTGCTAATAAACACTTTAATTCTAGATTTGAAGCTTCGTGACTGCAAGGATTCATACTCTTAGGTTTTTTCGGTAAAGTCAGATAGGTCAAAAATATAATTAAAATTAATAAAAGTAATAAAAATAAAATAATAAATCACGACGTTTCGGAGGCAACACAAGCTTCCGTCTTCAGGTGGAACAGTCCACAGCACTATTGCTGGATCAAGTAAAGAATTTAAAGAGAGAGACTTTACTTGATACAGCAATCGTGCTGTGACTGTTCCGCCTGAAGACGGAAGCTTGTGTTGCCTCCGAAACTTCGTGATTTATTATTTTATTTAATTACTTTTATTAATTTATTTTATTTATTTTTTACCTACTGACTTTATCGAAAAAACCTAGAGTATAATTAACACTTTCCCATTCTGAGATCTCTGCCAGTTGCAGGCTGCATAGCGGCGTTGTTTTAAAGACATTGTTCTCACCACAGAGAACCACAGCGATACGACCACACTCTATGACAGCTGCGCCAAACTGTGCCACGCCCTCCCGCAGTGGCCTTGTGGAAGCCTCGGTACCGAGAGAAGTTATTTTAACTTCGGTGTTCTTTCGGTTTCGTCTTGATGATGGGCCTCCCCTACGTCGGCAAAGCCCTAAATGAATGCCTGGGGCAGTGCGTGAAACATCGTCACAAAGGTGGCCAGGCATGGTACTGAGCTCCCACCCCCCTCGTGTGCCACGTTGGCCTTCACAGGTGCTCGCTAACAGCAGCTTGCCCCGACAGTCTGATAAGGCTAGAGGGGAATCTCTGCCTGTGTGTGAGTGTGTGTGCGTGCAAAGTCCTCACATCGCCGTGCTGGTGGTCTGGCCGAGTGTTGCGCTGGCTGGTGGTATGTGTAGCGCGCCTGCCCGTTGCTGTACACATGCACATTGGCTGCAACACACACACAAAGCATGCACCGCGTTTCATCATCATCAACAATGTCATTAGGTTCAGAGCTTTAAATCTTTACATTTATTTGTTTAAAGACTCAAAGACACTAGGAGGGAGTAGCAATTTGCCAAGAGTGACCTGGGTCAATCAAAATGACAGAAATAAAGTAAAGCATTTGAGCAAATAGCAATCGGTGCAAAAACAATTGCATCACGTGAGAATTGAACATATGGTACAAACACGAATCAATGCTAAATAAATTTGCTGTAGCGCGTGTCAGCATGTGTTACCGTGTTCCCCGTGTATGTATGTTGAACTTCTTTCGCACTGCACGTAGCCAACCTGCTAATCGGAGGTGCGGATCCCATGTCCCCGTGTCCCCATTGCGCCGTGTCCCCATGGCGCCGTGTCCCCATGTCCCAGTGTCCCTATATCGCCGTGTCCCTATATCTGCGTGTCCCGTGACCCGTGTCTCGGTGTCCCCGTATCCCCTGCTCACAGGCTGGGGAATCCGCCCCCAAAGAACAGTTTGAAGAGGTCCTCGGGGGGAATGTCTGCCTCAAAGATCGCTGGAGTGCTCGTGCGCCTAGCGCCGGCCCCGTGGCGCCGCCGCCTGCTCGTCACCGTACTGGTCGTAGCGCCCGCCCGCTTCTCGTGGTTACTCAGCACCGCTACGCGTTTCCTATGCCTGTATGGTCACATCATCATCAGAGCCACCACATTGTCATCGTGATCATTGCCGTCATAGCCATGAACATCGTTATGAAAAATCATGAGCATCATAACAATTGCCGATGACACCGATGATCACACAGACCCTCTCGCACGCACTTACACCACACACACAGAGGGTTCAGTGAGCGACCAAGCATGCAAGTTAACGGACGAGTGAGTGAGGGAGGGAGGGAGGGAGCGAGCAAGCTATTGAATGAGTGATTGAGCGATCGAGTGATTGAGTGAGCGGGTGGGTGAGTGGGTGTTTGAGCAGGTAGGTGAGTGAGCGAGCAGCGAATGAGCGACTAGAACAAGTGAGCGGGTGAGCATGTGAGCGAGTGAGTGGGTGGGTGGGAGTCTCCTCACCCTTGAAGGCCTCGGTGGCGCCGGGAGCATGGTTCTTGTCTGGGTGGAACTTGAGTGCCAGCTTGCGGTAAGACTTCTTCAGCTCCTCCTCCTGCGCATCTTTGGCCACACCCAGGATCTCGTAGTAATCCTTGCAGCGCTTTATCCTTCAGGGGCAAGAGGAGGCGGAGATCACGATGGGAGGGAGGGAGGGAGGAGAGGGAGGGGGGGGGAGGGAGGGGAGGGAGGGGAAGGAGGGAGGGGGATGGGAGGAGAGGGACCATCTCTGCTGGCACCAGGCACAATGCCAGTCGCCAGGAACATGTACACTCTGACCTCACGTAATAAGAAAATAAAACCCATTTGGAACTCTGACAGTGAGCAGTGCATCACCCTGAGTGTGAGAGTGACCTGCTGAAGGGGACACTCCATTAATTTCCAGTGACCTATTTACCAAAATTAAACACATTATTTGAAGCTGCTGCATCGGCAGTGGTGCAAGGGCACAATTAACAAAATATAACTCAACACGTTCATCAGTGACACTGCGTGGCCTTGACAGGAACAATAAACATCGGCGACGTTTTGGGCAGTGGCCCTTCTTAAAGTGCAGTCTGCACTGTACACCACTGTGTAAAGTGCAGTATCCCAGCTCGTATCCACTCCTCTGGCCTCTCTATTTAGGCTCTTTTTCCAGACTCGGGCTTCTGCACTTTCCCAAACGCCCTGCTGTCACGATGTTTGCAGCATGGCAGTCAATCGGATGTTTTATTCTCTGGGTGGGAAGTTTGCCAAATAGGTGACAAACCGGAATTTATACGATAGGGTTTTT